ACTCGTTGCCCGGAAAACCTCGCCAAGGAGGCATCCTGACCAGATGCCTGAGCCACCACAACTGGCTCTTCTCAATGGAGGAGCAGCGGATCTACTCCGAGCCCCTCCCGGATGACGGAGATCCTCACCCTATCTCTACGGGAAAGCCCAGCCTCTGCGGAGAAAACTCATTTCAGGAGCTTGTATCTGCAATCTCGTTCTTTTGGTCACTCTTTTGCTCGTGACCAGAGGGTAGGAACATAGATTGATCAGTAAATCGAGAGCTTCGCCTTCTGACTCAGCTCTCTCTTCACCACGACAGACCGGTACAACGCCCGCATCACTGCAGACGCAGCACCAATCCGCCTATCGATCTCAGCTTTCCCTCACTCGTGAACACAAGATACTTAAACTCCTCCGCTCAGGGCAGGACCTCATTTTTAATATAATTTAGGATTCATGGTCTTTGTAGAGAAATGGATTTCATGTCCTCCAGGACTGATAGGCTAACAGCTAGTCTAAGTGAGGAGCAAAATGTGCTGCTGCCATTTTTAAAAAAGCTCCAGTCTCCTACATTCTACATCATTTTCTGTGAGTTTTTCTTCAGAAATCTGCTCAACAACTTCTGTTTCACATCATGAGAAATGGTTTATTTAGAAGAAGAAGAAGAAGAAGAAGAAGAAGAAGAAGAAGATATCATTTCTATAGCGCCTCTCAATATAAAAATCACGAGATTTACCAGTGTAATCATGACTCAGCAGTCCGTAGCCCTTCACCCAGAGGTCAAGTCCAGCAGAAATGTTTGAATGGGACTCCATACTGTGAAATTATGTATTTAATAAAAATACACAATATTAAATGCAAATCTTGGACTGGATACACGGCAGGGTACCACAAAACGGCGCTACACCCTCTGTTTTCCTGGCAGGAAATTGCTTTGCAACACTCCCCAGGAGACGGAGACGTCCAAAGGCAAACCGTCTCTGTTTGTGTGTGTCCACGCCTGATGGAGCTGACGGAGGAGCGTGAATCAGGCTCAAGGCTTAATCCACTGCAGCTGTGGAGAGCTGCTCCAACGTGGCACTGTCCGTGGTGCTGATCGGCACAGCGCACATCCAGAGGGAACCGCTTATGGCGCTGAACGCTCTGATGGAAGTAAACTCCATTTCTCTGAACAGAGGCTGTTCAGGAAGCCATGTAAGATATGTAGATGTACGTGTAGATTTCTACGCAGAAAAAAAACTTAAAAATGTCCAAAAATATCCGTTTGAGTGTTAAACTCTTTCCTCTTGTTTGCATTTTCAGCATCAAACTCTAGAAACATTAGAAGAGACACAAACGGATGACGAGGCGTCGCATTCCGGCCTCTTCTGAGCTTTTGCTTCCACATTTGCTGAGTGACTGTGCAGTTTGGAGGAACATGGTGTGGGATGTTCCCTGTGGTCGCTTGTCTAACAAAGAGACCCTCTGAGCTTTCAAAGCTTTAATTTCCCCACAGGCCACAATTATTAAAGAGATAACGGACGGGACACTTCAAACTGCAAACAAGGTCGTCTTTTATTCCTCTTGTCCTGTTTTTAAATCGGGGAGTTTGCATTAATAAATCCTGAGTTTTCGCTGCATGGCATCATCCCAGAGTAAAGTCTGTGGGCTGAGCGGGAGCATGCAGGGCACTCTCATGCTGCCAGGAAACAAGAAACTAAAATACTTTCTTGTTTTTTGGCTGGTGTTAGCATTTTTTCATGCCAGTGATGCCGTCTCTGACTGTGATGTTCGTCTCAGCTCGATCTAGTCTGGATGTGATTCATTATTTGTATAATTCAACAGATTAAATAACTCCAGAGTTTCTTTGAATGGAAGCGTCCTGATTCTGGTTATGATGTAGATCTTATTGATGTATAACTTTTACTCCTCCTGCTCTACAGCAGATGTGTGGAAATCCAGTCAGAGTCTCTCGGGTTTACCTTGATGTGTAATTTGTGGGCAGTCAGGTTGATGGACAAGGACACAACGCGCCATGTCGCTAATAAATTAGTGAGCTGCACTTAGCAAACCTCACTCCTGCTGCCTTATTTCTCCCCTCAGAGTGCTGCAACTCCTCCCAATCCATCCTCCCTCCTGAAAGCACTGGCGACGGCCCCGTGGCCCAGCGCTGCACCAGCCACCCCACCCCATCACAACTCTCATCACGCGCACCTAACAGCTGCTTTGCTCCTGTTGGATTTGCAGACTGAGCATAAAAAAGAGATTTTTTTGGTCAAACCTGCTTATTTTTAATGGTAAATTGCTCAAACGTATATAGTGCCTGCTAGAGTTCGACAGTCTCCATGTCCCTTCACAAATCAGCCATTCACTCAATCAAACATTGGTGATGATGAGCTACATCATAGCGACAGTTGCCCTGGGGCGCTCTGACAGGTGCCACCAGTCCCGCCGTCCACCACGGTGACACAGAGCATGTGGTTGCGTTCGCCTCCAGGACAGTAGAGTGTAGATTCTCCACCAATGAAAAGCGAGCCTTTGGCTGCTTTTGGGCTGTCGAGTGCTGACGAGCGTATTTGTGAGGTTGTACAGTTACACTGTGAGCACATCACCACGCTCTAACTGCACTGTTCACTTCAAGTCGTTGTGCTTCATGCGTACGGCACGCTGGGCTGCTCCACTGCTGTGTTAGAACTATGATGTCATGTTGCTGATTGCTTGTCACATTTGCCTCTTTCTGCAGGCGCTGATGCTTGAGCGGACCCAGAACCTGAGTTTGTTGGACGACATCTACAGCTATGACCACGCTCTCTGCCTTGTGCTTACATCTTGTGAAAGGTTGACCTGAATCATCTGCTGCTGAGTGTCCGTTTGTACCTCAGTTTGAGAGACGAGTTCTCTGGGTTGCACGATCCCCTCAACAGGGGTTCTCACCTCGTTGAGCTGAACTGGTTGCATCACACACTGATCATTTTGGCACATGAAGGTCATCAGAGACTCTGTGACTTCCACTGGTGGCCTGGTATGGATGACCAACACGTTAAAGGGTGTCCATTGTGTCAAGCTAGGGATAAAACGGCCGTTCCTGCTTCACTCGTTCTGGCACCGTTTTAAGATAAAGATGTAGACAGGTCAGCGATGAGGCGTGCGTGTTCCTCCCTATCGAGGAGGAGAGAATATCTGCATTCAGAAACCGACTAATGCTCCAGATCTGCACCAGAGAGTCTGTGTATCTGCGCTTCATAACACTTGCAAGATGATCAAAAGTGGCATGCATCATGCTTGACTTGTTCTAATACTCCAGTGATGGGTAATGTTCCAACTTCCTGTTTATTAGATTTAACTCATTCACTGCCGTTGATGACTAAAGTCATCATTTTAAATACAACCACTTTCTGTCATAGTGGCCATTTGCGTGTTTAACGGGGCGAGCTTGCGCACCTTGAGAGTAAACAACACGGCTCGACAGTTTATCTCCACCCATGAGTGTCACACGTCACGTGATCATGAAGCAGACAACCCATGAATGAGGGGATTGTTTTGGCAGGCCACTGTGCATAAAGTGAGGCGCTAGCCGGAAAAGCTTCTGCAGCTCAAACTTCGACAACGGATTGTGAAAGAACAGCTGGAAACACGCAGATTCTTCCGGATGTAAGAAGTGGGTCTACTCTTTCTCTTGGTGTGGTAAATGATGTATTTGATAACGGGCCTTCTAGAGTCCTGGAACCCCCCAAAGGGAGTACAATGACAGAGGCAAGTCTGCCGCACACAGGCAAAACCTCTGACCACCACCAGCAGGCAAGGTGGGTCTTGCCAAGGACACAACAGCAGCAACAGACTGAGCGGGACTCGGACCTGCAACCTTTTGATTACTGGGCAAACACTTAACTCCTGTGCCACCATCACCCACAACAGCGTAGTTTTGGTGTTTAAACGGTCACAGAGCACAATGTTCCTTGACTCGTCAAAATAAAAAATAAAATAAATAAAACTGTAAAAATACTCAAAATTGCTGGCAGTCAAAGAGTGAACACACATTCATCCACCTGCGGTGGTTCAGCAAAACATTCCTGCTGGGATTCTGAGAGCTCCAGTTCATGTGAACCAACCACCATCTTGGCTGAAAGAGTATGCGCCGCCTCACAAGGCATTCACTCCTAACTGCAAGTGTATTAAACGTATGAGTGAAGACCTCTTTAAATAAGAGATGGAAAAAAATCACTCAAAACCCGCTGGTCAAGGAGGAAATACCCGTTCTGACCATTAAATGGGCTCTTCTTTAAAATAGAGAGCTGCTCTTTGAGCCTCTATTGAGCTCATTAAACTTGGTAAATGGGCCAAACACAAAATCGTCAACCTTAGGACAAACTACCAGAGTTCCAGGAAGAAAATCACCAACTGAAGTCACGGACACCAACAGAAAACTGGTGTTTAGCGTTGTGACATCATAGGTTTCTGGTTCCAGCAGAAGTGTCTCAGATACCCAAGGGGAAGGTTGTTCTGCGACCAGGTTGTTGTCTTTAGAACTTTAGAACGGTTCTAATAACCCTGCGACGGGTACTTTTGTTTTAGGAAGAGGGGAGATGTTCCGTGACTCGTAGCGGGGAGAAGAAGTGCTTGCAGCTACAGATGTGGAAAAGAAGAAGATGCTGGTTGTGACTTGGTCCATAATAAAGTCCTGCTGCCCTTCTCATTCCTGCTGCAGCCTTAACACACATCTGCTAAAACCACAACAAACACGAGCCAGTGAATGTAACTGGGCATTTAAGCGGGAGGGAGATGCTTGGTATCAGGTTCTGGTCCGGTCTGGTTGGTAAAAGACAAAGAGTATTTTGTGTTGCACAGCTCTAAAGTACTTCAAAGAACAGGGGAGAGCTCAGCACCACGGACAGCGTCTCTCTCTTTCTCTTTCTCTCTTACACACACACACACACACACACACACACACACACACACACACACACACACACACACACACACACACACACACACACACACACACACACACACACACACACACACACACACACTGAGAGAGCCTCTTCCGGCGCTCACTCGGCAGCTGGCTCCGGTACAGCTCCTCCCTTCTGTGTGGTGGCTTCTCCGACCCAAAGATCCTGGACGTGAACAGTTTCGCTGAGGAGCACTTTTCTCCCCCCACCCCCACCGACCCTGGACCCCCCCACTAAAGCATCCAGACGGACTATCGAGGCGTCACTTTCGTCCACACCGACCTGAGTGAAAGAGTTTGGTGTAATCAGGTCTCCGCTCGTCCTTCACCCACCCGGATCTCTGTCTGCGATGGAGACTCGGGCTGGCTCGTGCCCAGGCTCGCGCCTCGTGTCTCTGGGTATCTGGGTGCTGATCGCCGCGCACACCCTGCCAACAGCCAGAGCGGAGATCAGCTGCGTCTCCTGCCCGTTGCCTGTTCAGCTTAACCGGGAGGAGATGCAGCCGGGAGCGCGCGACCTAAGGAGCATCCGACTTGAGTTCAGGGAGCTCGGGATTACCGATCAGGACCTCGGGACGGACAGGGAACACAGTGAGGGTGTTTCTAGGGAGGACGCTCTGCAGTTCCATCGCAGTTTAGATGAAGTTCCGCTCGGGGACACACCAGAAGACCCCGCGCTCCGGAGAGCCAAAAGAAGCGAGTTTGACGACTTAAGCAACGGCGGGTGGACCGGTGCCGCTGGCGTGGATGCAGGCGCGCCGGAGGACCGGGGCTCTAACGGGCAGAGGTCTGGAAGGTCCGAGTACAGGTGGAACAAGGACGACGGGAGAGGGAATAACCGGCAGGACGAGCCCAAACTGAGCAGCAGCACCTTCTCTCTGACGGGGGACTCCGCGCACAACCACGCGGTGGTTTACTGGTCCGGACGGAACAGCAGCGTAAGTAAAACCGTTTTCTGGTCCTCAGCCCGCGGCTGCTGAGCTGAGCTATGGGAAGGATGAAGTCCACACAGCACGGACTTTGCTGCGCGGAGCCGCTGCTAACAGGTGCGCCAAAGCTGCGGTGCGCTCTGACGCACGCTGGGATTTTTACGCACCAAACCTTTCAGTCATTATGCCTTTTCTGTTAGATCTGCTGCTGGTTTCTCGGTCCTGGTGTGGCCTGGGAGGCGTGAATAAGTCACACATTTCATCTTCATTGTGGAAAATCTTCCCAGTCGCTTCATCATGAAACTCGGAAATCTGGATTTTCTCGTTTTTTCCAGCATGTTTTTGCTCACGTTGAAATTAAATTCATCACATAACTAAATAATTCTTATTTTTTTAATAGATGAAGATATTTAATCTTGAAAATAAAAAAAAGCTTTTTTGTTGCACTCACACAAAGTTATTTACTTCCATCTGCAAAAATACTCGTGCCCATTTATTTAAATAAAATACACACATTTTATTTGTTTGTTCTGAGGAATTCTCTGGAATCAGTCGGGAAAATTAATCAAATGTTGGAATTTTCTTGGTGTTGACATGTTCTGAAACCGCTCAGGTCAGAAAGCTGCAGCCTGCTGCTGAATCTTTGTTTCTGTCACAGCCCCGCTGGCTTCCTTCATACCTCCTAAAAGCAGCTCCGCACTGGAGGAGAACAACGAGACAAAACGAATCACAGTCATTTCTGTCCCTTAAACGGGAGCCGATGGGTTCTGGTTCGGTTTCCAGGAGCTTCATTTGTTTTTGCTTCAGTCAGAGAAAAATAAATAAATACGGGAAAAGCAGAATTTAGCATATTCATTCTTGTCTGAGCTGATTATGACATGGTGCATGAACTTGTTTTCTAACCTGCGGTGAAGACTGAGGCGCTGTGATCGAGTGTGTGTGTGTGTGTGTGTGTGTGTGTGTGTGTGTGTGTGTGTGTGTGTGTGTGTGTGTGTGTGTGTGTGTGTGTGTGTGTGTGTGTGTGTGTGTTGGATGAAGAGGGTGCAGGGGTTACTGTGTGCCACTGCCCCTTTAGGTTTGAATCTTTCACATTTATCTCGAAGCTTCTGTTTCGGATGAATCAGAAGCGGCCCAGAGAGCCTCCTCCAGAGATGAGCTCTGCTGCTTCATCTTCATCGGTGGCTGATGCCTGTTCTGGTGTTGGATGGTGGGGAGACTGGGCTTGAAGTCTGTTAACTCCTCTGTAGCGGTAGTTAATGTGGAACAACGACTCGCTAGCAGGATGACTAAATGGTTGGATGGATGACTGGTTCTGTTCAACAGCTTTAACCTTTACTGTCTCGTTGCTCCGTCGATGTTTTGATCCTCTTCTCGAAATAAAAAATAACCTTGAGCTGTTTGGTCAGAAATAAAAAAACACGTCAGGAACTCTGACCTGTTAGCCGACACAAGCCTTGGTCTGCTCCAGGCTCTTCTCTCTCATCTAACGTCCTACAAACCTCATTATGTTGTAATAAAACACGCTATTATTACCAGCGCCTGCCCAAGAAGTACACAGAGTCAGTGCTCTGGAGCATACATGTGTGTGTAGATGCAACAAAACAAGACATTAGCATTGACTGCTGCCTGCTGGAAAGGTCAAAGGTTTACGAACCCATCCATCAGGATCATTCACTGATGGAAAAACAAAGACAGCTGATGATCTTCACAGGTGTGGACATTTCTTCAAGTTCACCACAAGGTCAGAGGTCAGTGTTAGGGGAGTTGACCCAAAAGACCCAAGAGCTCCATGTCACACCCTGCAGGCCTGAGCTGGCAGGTTAAAGGTCATAACAGAACAATCTGGATGAAACCAGTCTGGTTCATTTGAAACGGTTGTTGGAAAATCAAAGCTCAGCTCAGCTCAGCTCAGCTCAGCTCAGCTCAGCTCAGCTCAGCTCTTGTTGGTTGCATTTCGCCTGAATGAAGTTTTAGACTTTAGGAACAAAACAGTGGCGGCTCCAGAAACGTTTTTCTGCAGGTGCTATGAAGGAAGTGGTCATGTGTACCTATTGTTCTCTAGAACACCTTCAACACTAGCAGACACACATGCGTGCACAACACCTCAACAACACCTGAAACAATCATTAATATACATCATAAACTTATGAACAATCGCTGACTTCTCCATGAAATCATAAACACATACAGCCACACAGAAAACCATCTATAGTGTAGCAAGGTTAGCTAACGTTAGCGTTAGCATTTCCAGCGGCTAAACCCTGGACTGCTGCGGCGGTTGAGGGTTGACTCTCTTCATCCAGATCCGTAGGTGTTTGTGGGTCTGAGATCACTTCCAAACATTCATTCGTTTGTGACTGAACCCGTGGAAATGTGGGCAACAAAAACCGATCCATCTTACCGCTAGCTAGCTCTACCTTTCACTCGTTCACAGGTGGAAAATGAGGTCAAAGGTTAACATGAATTTCCTGTTTTGGTTTAAGTTTTTACTATCTATATGATAATTAACTGATTATTTTTGTTTTGTATGTTAAATATTATCACATCCACACATTACATTAAAATTAAATTGTAAAAAAATCTAATATTTACTTGGGGGTGCTATGACTAATCCCCCCCCCCCCACACACACACACACACACACACACAATGCACTGCTGCACATGTGCAGATATCCAGCTTAATCAGCAGTCAGCACGGTGGTGGAGGGCTGATTGTTTGGGAAGCTCCCGCAGATGCATGGATGTCTTTGAATACCAACATATTCTAGAGGCAAACGTGAGGCTTGGGCGGAACCAGGTCATGAAGCAGAACCAGCAGAATCCAGATAGTGCAGTGGTCCAGCGTCCAGATCAGAACCTCCAGAGAGCAGCTTTGGATCTCCTCCAGAGGTTCTGATGGATCATCAGGTGGACTCAGATTCCTACCCCGGTTCGGGATTCTGGATGAAAACTTTTCAAAACGATGACCTGATTAAAAATGAACATCTTTGTGATCATGCTGGATCAGGTTCCAACAGGTCATTTAACCACTGAATCAGGTGTTGGAGCACAAAAACAACTAAAGGTGCTGGATCGGAGCGCTCCAGAACCAAGACCAGATGTCAGTTAATTCTAGTTTTTAATGCTTCTCAAATCACTGAAAATTGTCTCCATTTAGCTGATTACAGATAAATGTTCTATTCCTCCAATCCTACTAATTAAAATGAAATAAAAATCTATATTTTTGTTTAACAATCAGTTTTTGTCTCAAGATAAAAGTAAACGAGTGAAACATGAAAGCAGAAGCCTCTGCTGAAGCGTTCAGGTGTGGTGGAAGTTCTGTGGAGCATGGCCGCTGTAAGGAGACCGTGTCCGGTCACAAGTCGCCTCGCTGCTGTCTTCAGATCAGGCCGGCACGTTTCACTTTGTTCTCCTGAAACAAAAATACATGCAGCCTTGATTTTTTTTTTCAGTTTGATTATAATAACATCAGCTTTTCTATGTGTGCTGATTATTTACAGATGTTCCTTTCTAAAGGACCGATTGTGTCTGAAAACGTGAACACAGGTTTCCTATCGGTTCCACAGCTTTAGGAGCCCTTCCAGTATTTCCAGATCCTTTCCAAACTCCGATGGGAACCTCTGGAACGTCTGTAAACGGGCTTAAAGTTCTGCCACAACCTCATCTGGGCCTGCTCTCCAGGAACCCTGGCCTGTTCCCTTCACCGCTTTAACGCCGTGGGACAAAACGCCAAACATTAGATTTGAGATTTGATCTAGTGAGCTGTCTGACTCGCAGGCTCGTTGGTCGACTGGACTCAACACCGATGGTAAACTCAGCCTCTTTGGTCAGGAAACCTCCTCTCAGTCCTATTTCATCCCAGCCGACCAGCCGATCAGCTGTGTCTTGCACCGAGGTACCTGTGGGACATGCTTGCTACTGTTGGGGGAATCGAAGGGGGCGGCGTGTCCTCTGAGGCGTGCACGCCGGCTTAATGCACTCTCAATATCTCTGAGTGGCTGTCCAGCCAGCTGTCTTCACCCTGTTCCCTGTCTGCCGTCCCCTGCAGCTCGTTCAGGTTGAAGCCATAATGGCGGCCATGTTGAGGCTGTCGTTTACAATATTCATGCCCATAATTCAGCATCTCTGCATCAATGTGATGAAGTCCTTTCTGAGGCGAAGCAACCGCTCAGCCTTGGCAGCCATGAACACACCGCCGCTGAATAAAAACTCGATCTCAGCGCCATCCTGAGACAGAATCTCACGTGAAGGAGACGGTTTCTCAGACTCACCATCAGAGCGGATGCTTCCTTCTAGTCTCAGATGTGCCAGATGTGTTTTACTTTCTGATGTTTGTCTGATGTTCGACGACACACGGCGCTCTCTTTGTTCTCCTGCACCGATTTGAGTGTGGCACTGAAAGTCAGCGAGACTCACGCGTTCTTTAAATCACGCCGAGGCAGGTCTTCCGTATCTGGCAGGTCATCAATAGAGCTGGTGGTGTGTTTGAAATTCCTAAATCCCTTCTGAGCGGTGCAGATGTGTGTGTGTGTGACTGTCATGAGCGGCGTTTAAAGTCAGAAATGTCACACGTGTTCCAGGCGCCCGCCTTCCCGACCGCGGGCCCAGAAACGACGTCTGTGTTCAAACAATCTGGCTGCTCGAGACGTTGCTGCTGAATACTGATCAACCCAGCCGGCTGCTATTTGCATTTTTGTGTCATTTGATTGTGTCGAAGCCCAGAGTCCTGCTAACGAGGACGGAAACACGGTCCTGCTCCGTCTCAGCTGATTTAGAGACGTCTCTGGCTCCCGCTCAGTTCCCATCGAACCCTCTCACCTCCTATCCTAAATGACGGAGACATTAGAAAGATGTTCCTGAGCTGGCTTCATGTTCTCGAGGAAGGAACAGACTAAAAGAGAATATTCTTACTGAGGAAAGCCTTCCAGCCTTTCTTCCAAAGATCCCTCCTCACCAGGGTTCGGGTCTAATTAACGCTCGCACACTTTTCCTTATCCAGCTCAGAAT